TTTATGATCACATCCGTGTTATTTGTGCCGTGTGGCGGCTGTAAAAAGTCTCCCCGTACATTTAATCAATGATGTTATATTTTCGATCCTTGAAGTTTCTAAATTCAAAATTTTACTATTTCACGTTTAAATGTTGAATTCTGCTTAAGCCGGTGCTAGGGGGCGTGGACGGTAACTTGCATTTTCCAGTACCGTCCATGAACAGGCTCAATCAAACCGAGTCTGCAACATTTTCAATTTTGCCGTGTTGGGCTTTCTTTAGGGATTCTGTATTTATCTATTTTAGGGTTTCAGGGACTATTGTCAGATTTAATATCGACTGCAGTAAATGTTACAAATGGCATGTTCAATGAAACAATTTTTTGGCATTATGGCTATCAATCACTTCATTTGAAGGGAACACATGCAGGACATCGTGCTGATAGTCTGAGTCACCTGTGTGAACAATTCTACTTTCTAGTGCCTTTATGTCTTTTTCAGTATGCGATTGTACTCTTTTTTTCGCAAATTCAACATAATAACCAGCTAAATATTGATAAAGCATTTTCATGTAATGAAAACACCGGTTTTGCTGCCACTGGTGGAAGCTGGTATGAATCCCAAAATGTTAGGAGAAGTAGGTACATGGACATCATGTGCCCTTGATATCACAAAGTCTACCATGAATATGGTACAAGTCCTTGGCACTCTGCATCTCATCTATTATTAGGATTGTCAAATAACTCAGTTTACATCGTAAGTCATGCAATTTTCCCTGTGATAATGGTATATATTCGCCTCCCTCACCCCCGCTTTGCTGCTAAATAGGGAAATTGAGTGAGAAGTGAATTGTCATGCCATCTACATATCTATATTAAAGGCAACTGTACCTGTAGGTGTTTTAAGTAACACAGTACAATCTGAGGAAAAATCTTCATCTCTCTGCAACTTTCTTTTTGTTGTGTCATTAATTGCGCGAATCAAGTAGCTCCTGCCTGTCCCTGCACCTCCTTTGACAAACAAGTGAGATAGTGGGATTGGGCTACCCGCTTTTTATTGTGGAAGTATTCTCTACACCATCTTAATATTTCATCAAATATTTCCCTCTGTTCCTTGATTTGGTTCCGAATAGGCATACGGTTTTCTTCATCAGTTAAAAGATTATATTTTAACGAGTAAGTAGCTGCATAGACACCAATATCACCAATAGGAGATACTTCTATTTTCTATTGATTTACACCGGAAAAGTCACGGTAAGGTTCATTTAATAATGATTTATAAAGGTTTTATTATACAAGGGTTATCGTGTTACATTTTGGAGTCTGCAATCTTTACTTTATTAAGACTTGATGGTATACGGTATTTTTTCATATATGTAAAAAAAAATTGAAAACCATTTTTATCGCTGTAATAGAAGTACCATTCGTGTTTAAATATTAAAATAGTTTTGGTAGAGGTGTTTACAGGGGCGTATCACGTTGGGGGGGGGGGCAGGATCTGACCTCCAAGCGTCTGTGATACTGTCAAGTGCAAACTACCGTCCACGCCCCCTAGAACCGGCTTTTATGGGCCTATTATTCAATCATTTATTTGTTTTCTTTGAATTCCTTATCAGTTACAAATTATTTATTATTTAAGTGATTAACCTGTCCGTGCTCTGTCTTGTGTCCTGTCTTGTTTATGTTTGGGATCCGCCTGGGCTTCTTAACCGCCTCCGTGGTCGAGGGGTTAGAGTCGATGACTTCTAATCCAGTTTCCTCTCTTGCGTGGGTTCGATCCCCGGGAGATGCTTTGGTAGTTTAGCACGGAGGAAGGTAGTCTAGTACTGGTGTATCTCTTCAGGAACGATGGTTAGGAAACTACCCGCCTATATGACTGAAATACTGATGGGAAAAGGCGTAAAGTGAAACAAACAAACAAAGCCTGGGCTCCCGCCTTTCCTTGTTGATCTTGTTTACTAGTGTCATATTCTAATCAGAATTCAACATTTAACATGAACTGGTACAATTTTGATTTTTGAAACATCCGAATATGTGTTCATATGGCGGTTATCATGGAACCTTCAATTTGACACGTAAGTGCCATTCAATGAATAGCGGCATATGGTCCCCAAGTAAAAGAATGTGTGTGCCATAAACGAGAAAACAATTGGCGGAACTAAATAAAATAGAATTTTGAAAGGGGATCAGGTTATGAAGCCTGCATATCACAGATAAGACGTCAAAAGACAAATTTAAAAAGCAGGCCACATATCCTAAGGAAGATTCAACAGTATTTAATTGAGGAATACTGGAACCACCCAACAAGAAGATAATGTCGTGCTCAACGATCTTTAAGGAACGGAAATATAACATCTCTAATTGAATGTACGGGGCGACTTTCTACACCGTCCAAACGGCACAAACAACGCTGATGTGGAAATAAAATAGAGAAAATAATAATCCCCAAAGAAAGCCAAACACGGCAAAATTGAAAATGTTGCAGGCTCGATTTGATTGAGGCTGTTCATAGACGGTACTGTCAAGTGCAAACAACCGTCCACGCCCCCTAGCACCCGCTTAAGCGGAATTCAACATTAAACATGAACTGGTACAATTGTGAATTAACATCTGGGTTAATTATTGCTGCATCTGCGTCTACAACTCTGGGATCAATAAGATCATTTGCATTTCTCTGCAAAGCTTTACTGTTCAGTGTATCCAAACTATCAATCACTGGACCAAATTCCTCAAAATCATCCTAAGCTGCATCTACTGCTTAATTGTTGTATTGAAACTGCTTCATGTTTTCTTTGACTATCTCTTCTAAATTCTGGTATGCATCCTGGAAAGTACTGAAGTGAAGTTTCAGCTCATTCTCATCCCGCCATGGAAAATTAATAAAAACAAGAATAAAGATCAACAAGGCAAAGGCAACGTTCACAGGACGCGGCCCCCGACACACTCAAAAAAATCTGGAGCGGACATAAGGGTGAAAGGAGTGGGACATGTAATGTGAAATAATATAAACTAAAACAAGCCCATAAGGGAATTAAAAGGATAAGAGGTGAAAAGATGGGGGGGGGTTAAAATGGGTCAGGGGAGAGGGGAATTGAGAAAATACCTACCGTCAACGACAATCCAAAAAATAAAGCCTTAAGGGGTAGTACTTTTCTGACTGCTTCATTTTTGAAAACACGGGATTTCTTACAATAGCCTGTGTTTTTCTTCTCTTCGTAAGACCTTTGCCATTTTTGAGTTTGATCACTGTTTCTTGCAATTCCATCATTTTTTATTATGTCAGGAGGAAAATCTTCAGTTGAGTTGCTTGTCATGGTAAAATATGATAAACAAGATCAACAAGGAAAGGCGGCGTTCAATGAACCCAAGAGGCAAATTCTGCTAATGTCATTTGACTAAATGATTCTGGTCTTGCCACATATCTATCAATTACGTTGGTGGAGAACAATTATTCACTTTCATTATCAAGTTGCTCAAGAATATTTGAAGGCTTCACTAGTTTAACTCTATTCTCTGGCAAATTTGTTGTCACAAATATAACAGTACGCATAGTGCCTCTTAAGGGTAAAGGGAGAGCTCTGTATATTGCTTCCTGTGCTCATATTTCCCTGTGATTAAGAAAGACATTATACCCAGATGCCTTAACTGTTGTTTGACGTTTTGGTCACACGCTTGTTTTGATGCCTGCCTGAGAATATCGCTTAATTCTCTTTCATCTTTTGTAATGTAACTGACTATATACATAATGCAGGTGTATACATCAGTCACAACTTGAAGGTCTATATTGGCTTGCCAAGCTTTGAGTATTGTTGGGTTATAGTTATTGATGCATTTGTCACATGGCTCTCGTTTGTGAAGCACTATTTTGCGCTTGTCTCCAACTTTTTTAAACATTTTATATACAGTTCTTCACTGACATAACAAGCCTTGAGTACTTGTGAAAGGGATAACTTTTCATCTGTAACGTGAATGTTTTTGAAGTGTTGACACAAGGGTAAGTAGTTGATCATCATTGTGTGGCAATGTGCTTATAATGTACTGCTCAACAAATGAGCAGACTTCCCCCTGTCATTGTTGCGTCTTTAATCCACAAGACACAGTGGACATGCGGGGAATCCCGCAGTTGTAATTCTGTTCTTATGAAAAAAATCTGTAACATTCCCTAGAGCTTTGATTTTCTGTGTTATGACTGTGAAAAAAAACTGATGTACTTTATAGTCAAAATGCCTTGTTGTAACAGGTTGTAATATGGTTATTCGGAATCCACTTGCACCTTTCCTCTCAAGGCATATTATCAATGTCACTGTCAGTTAGAAGGACTCCTGACTGTTGAGGAATGTCAGTCCAGCGAAGGTCTGCAGAAGACAGTGTCAAAAACCATGTGAACTGTACCAGTTGTTTCACCATTCCAAGCAAATCATAGATGCATGTTTGCCAATATGCTGGCGAACTTCGAATGTTCTTTTAATATTGTGTAAGCAAAGTCCTAAGCAATAAACGTGTTAAGAGTATCAGGAGATTGTAATGTAGCTGCTGTTACTGACTCTGAATATTGTATCTTTTTAAAGTATTGTAAACATTTTCCACAATATGTTTCTTTTCAGCAAGGAACTGCATAAAAAATATGTAATCAATTTTTGTTGCAACTCGTTTGTCAATATTAAGAAGTCGAGTGTTTGAATATTTACGAAAGTGTTACTTACTACATCTATTTGTATTGTAACCAAATCGACCATATGGAGCAGAAAAGGCGAGAAACTCTGCGTGAGGGTCGTACAATAAGATCCCTTTGCTTCGGGAGCGATGGGTATTATGTCATTTCCTTGACACTGTAAACATGATCTATTTAGATTCATTTTTGTATGTCCAGCTTATGTAAATCTTCATCATCGCTTACATCATCACCGTGTTAAAGGGCATTACTACAGTAATTTGTTTCATCACTGTTCGTGCTCAGTAACAAAGTGTTATTTTCACAAGAAACAATGTCATGTCCTCTGTTTGAGTTAAGCTTTCATTTACATTGGCATTGTTGTGTTCAGTTTGATTCAATGCGCTCTCATTTTCATCAGGGAATAAATATCTATGCAAATTTTCTGTCTCGTTTGTTTTCACTGTATTGTCTGCAGTTTGATTTCCGAGTATATTAGTCCATATTTCCTTATCTTCATCTTCAGATTCTATTTTTAACGCTTCTTCATTTTCTTCTGCATACTGATATAGCGGATTTATCTTTATCAAACATTTCAAAGCACGATTGACATCTGCTGGCTTAAAACCTGATCAATTACTGCAGATCTGTACTCCTTTTTGCGTTTTAATTTTATCATTATGAAAGAATAGTATGGTGGGGGACGAGGCAGACTTTTTGAGTGTCACAACTATCTATAGAAACATTAACCACGGCCTTTTGACCACCACGTAGCTGGACATAATTTTCATGAAAGATAATCTCTGAGAAATTAAATGTCCTTCTATCAACTTGTAAGTCATTTGGAAAGTTCTTCGGCGGCACCCTACCTTTAAGAAGATGTCTGTGGTATGTATTGCATATCCATATGTTTTTAAAAACAAGAGGGCCATGATGGCCCTGAGTCGCTCACCAGAAACAACTGCTTTTCAGTGTTGGTATGTCAATATATTCTAATATTAAATTTGAGCATAGAATAATTATGTTTAAACAATAATTTGAAGAAATGCCATGACCTGGGGTATTTAAGCTTTAGCTTTATTGGGGCTAATCAAATTAATATGAGCAAACTTGATAAAATACTACCTAACAATGCTACAAGGTTTGGTGATCATCTATCAATTATTTCAGTAGGAAATGATGTTCGAAGGTTTTTTTCTATTTTTAGCTTTAGTGGCCCCTAAAAGGGGCTAATCAAATTAATATAAGCAAATTTAATAAAAGAGTAGCCAAGAATGCTACAGACAAAGTTTGGTGTCCATCCATCTATTGGTTCTGAAGTAGAAGATGTTTAAAGGGTTTTCTATTTTTAGCTTTAGCGGCCCTAAAAGGGGCCAATCAAATTAATATGAGCAAACTTGATATAAGATTACCCAAAAATGCTACAGAGTTTGGTGATCTTCAATTAAATAGTTCTGTAGGAGAAGATGTTTAAACGTATTTTTATTTTTAATTTTAGTGGCCCCTAAAAGGGGCTAATCAAATTAATATGAGCAAACTTAATAAAAGACTACCCAATAATGCTACAGACACAGTTTGGTGATCATCCATCAATTAGTTCTGTAGCAATAGACGTTTAAATGTATATCTATTTTTAATTTTAGTGGCCCCTAAAAGGGGCCAATCAAAATAATATGAGCAAACTTGATAAAAGACTACGCAACAATGCTTCAGACAAAGTTTGGTGATCATCCATCGATTCGTTCTGTAGACATAGACATTTAAAGGTATTTCTAATTTTAGCTTAATCGGCCCCTAAAAGAGGTCAATCAAATTCATATAAGCAAACTTGTTAAAGGACTACCCAAAAATGCTACAGACAAAGTTTGGTGATCATGTATCAATTAGTTCTCTAGAAATAGACATTTAACGGTATTTTTATTTTTAGCTATAGAGACCCCTAAAAGGGGCTAATCAAATTTATATGAGCAAACTTGATAAAAGACTACCGAAGAATGCTACAAAGTTTTGTGATCATCCATCAATTAGTTCTCTAGAAATAGACATTTAACGGTATTTCTATTTTTTAGCTTTAGCGGCCCCTAAAAGGGGCAAATCAAAATAATATTAGTAAACTTGATTGTTTGTTTGTTTGTTTGTTTCATTTTACGCCTTTTCCAACAGTATTTCAGTCATATAGGCGGGTAGTTTCCTAACCATCGTTCCTGGAGAGTTACACCAGTACTAGACTACCTTCCTCCGCGCTAAACTACCAAAGCATCTCCCGGGGATCGAACCCACGCCAGAGAGGTAACTGGATTAGAAGTCATCGACTCTAACCCCTCGACCACGGAGGCGGATATAAAAGACTACCCAAGAATGCTACAGACAAAATTTGGTCATCATCCATCAATTAGTTCTCCAGAAATATACATTTAAAGGTATTCTATTTTAAGTTTGTGCGGCTCCTAAAAGGGGCCAATCAAATTCATATGAGCAATCTTGATAAAAACACTACCCGAGAATGCTATCGACAAAGTTTGGAGATCATCCATCAATTAGTTCTGTAGGAGATGTTTAAAGGTTTTTCTATTTTGAGCCCTAGAGACCCCTAAAAGGGGCCAATCAAAATAATATTAGCAAACTTGATGAAAGACTATTCAAGAATGCTACAGACAAGGTTTGGTGATCATCCATCAATTAGTTCTCTAGAAATAGACATTTAAAGGTTTTTCTATTTTTAGCTTTAGCGGCCCCTAAAAGGGGCCAATCAAATTAATATTAGCAAACTTGATAAACGACTACCCAACAATGCTACAGACAAAGTTTGGTGATCATCCATCATATAGTTCTGTAGGAGAAGATGGTAAAGGTTTTTCTATTTTTAGTCCTAGAGACCCCTAAAAGGGGCCAATCAAAATAATATTAACAAAATTGATAAAAAAAAACTACATAAGAATGCTACAGACAAAGTTTGGTGATCATCCATCAATTAGTTCTGTAGAAATATACATTTAAAGGTATTTCTATTTTTAGTTTGTGCGGCCCCTAAAAGGGGCCATTCAAATTCATATGAGCAATCTTGATAAAACACTACCCGAGAATGCTATCGACAAAGTTTGGAGATCATCCATCAATTAGTTCTGTAGGAGATGTTTAAAGGTTTTTCTATTTTGAGCCCTAGAGACCCCTAAAAGGGGCCAATCAAAATAATATGAGCAAACTTAATGAAAGACTATTCAAGAATGCTACAGACAAAGTTTGGTGATCATCCATCAATTAGTTCTGTAGAAATAAACGTTTAAAGGTTTTTCTATTTTTAGCTTTAGCGGCCCCTAAAAGAGGCCAATCAAATTAATATGAGCAAACTTGATAAACGACTACCCAACAATGCTACAGACAAAGTTTGGTTATCATCCATCATATAGTTCTGTTGGAGAAGATGTTTAAAGGTTTTTTATATTTTTAGTCCTAGAGACCCCTAAAAGGGGCCAATCAAAATAATATTAGCAAAATTGATAAAAAAATTACATAAGAATGCTACAGACAAAGTTTGGTGGTCATCCATCAATTAGTTCTGTAGAAATAGACGTTTAAAGGTTTTTCTATTTTTAGCTTTAGCGGCCCCTAAAAGGGTCCAATCAAATTCATTTGAGCAAACTTGATAAAAGACTACCCAAGAATGCTACAGACAAAGTTTGGAGATCATCCATCATATAGTTCTGTTGGAGATGTTTAAAGGTTTTTCTATTTTGAGCCCTAGAGACCCCTAAAAGGGGCCAATCAAAATAATATTAGCAAACTTGATGAAAGACTATTCAAGAATGCTACAGACAAAGTTTGGTGATCATCCATCAATTAGTTCTGTAGAAGAAGATGCTTAAAGGTTTTTCTATTTTTAGCTTTGCTGACCCCTAAAAGGGGCCAATTGGAATGACATTAGCAAATTCAAGTGTGACTGTCACAAGGATGCTACAGACTAAATTTGAAGTAAATCTGCCTAGTGGTTTCAGAGAAGAAGACGATTGTTGACGCATGACGACGGACACCGGAGCATCCACCTTTGATACTAATAGCTCACCCTGAGCCTCCGGCTCTGGTGAGCTAATAAGGGCAATCAGTTAAAATTACTCTGCTTACTGATTGCATGTATTTGGTTTGATTGTATTGAATGACTGACTGTTCATACGCAGACAAGAAGCACAAACATATACTGGACCCTGTGATGAAGCAAGATGAAACTCATCTATTGCCTGATGTAATGACTAAGTCTTTGTTCGTTTAGTTTTGCGTAAACCAGATTCCTTTTTACTTAAGAGCTGTACTTTGCCGTTTTCTGCACCTATCTACAATATTAATCAGGTATTTTTGTGTAGAGGTCATGTGGCTCCTCTGCCTACCTTTTCGGACATTGTCCTTGTTTTTAAAGCAGTTTCTTCTTGTGTAGAGGTCAATTGGCTCCTCAGTCTATTCTTTCTGACTTTTCTTGTTTAGGGCAGTTTCTTTTTGTGTAATGGTCATTTGGCACCTCTGCTTATCTTTTCGGACACTGTCCTTGTTTAAAGTATTTTTTTCATTAGATATCATTTGGCTTCTTTGACTGTTTTCTTCTGACCTTGTCATTATGTAAAACACTTTCTTTATGAGAATTAGTTATTTGGCATCTTTCTTCCTCTTTTCGGAGTTTGTTCGTCTCCAAATCAATTTCTTTTTCAGACTCTTTCGACTTCTGTTCAACCTTTTTCGCACTCGATCCTTCAATTTCAAGTCCTTTTTTTCAGTTTCAGTCATTGACTGCCTTCTATTTATTTTTTTCGTAATCTCTCTTTTTTTCTTTTGATGCTCTGTTTATCAACAGTCTGAGGAAACAACTACATGTACATGTTTCTTATAACAACTTGTACTATCTACTTTTGGACTATTTCCTTGCATATTTGCATATTTTTTAATTGATGTTGAACATAACGTGTGTGTTTATCTTCGAAATAAGTTATCAGATACTATTGTAGTCTTAACAGTAAAATTAAAATTCTGAAATAATTATGTTCAAAATTATTTGTAATTTCAGGAAATTCCTTCATTTGACCATGCAGTAAACAGAGTCGCAGATGATTTCTCTTTTCCACAGTCGTACTCTATACACTCAGGATCCTTGCCGAAGAACAAGTGTAAAGCAAAACAGATTGCCTTTACTCCCCACAATGGTTCACTTCCTTATTGTGTAACTTGACAGTATTATAAATTTGATGTATATTTCAACATAAACCATTTTAAAGTTAAATTAGATAAATTTCATAAAAAAAGAAATACTGACATTCCATTAATAAATTGGGTTTCATATCGACTCCAGATCTTATTTTGGTGTCCAGACAACCAAAATGAGTTAAATGAGCATACAAATATGCAACCTCGTTGTGGCAAGTTCGGAAGTACAATTTCTGTTTGCATGAAAAACTCCGCATTCGGATAATCCATACATCAATATTATATCAACAAACATGACTATCAGTAGCAGTCCTAATTTAACGGTATATTTCCGCATTGTAACGGATATTTTCATACAAATTTAATATTTTTTATGAGATGATTACTTTTTCTGAACCCCAGGCCTAGTGCACTGTGAAGCTTAAACGGTTTAAGTGTGTTTGCGCAAGAAAATCTTATATTTGCTGTGTTTCGGATAGCAACTATAACACCGTGACGTAGCGCATACACGAGCTGATTATAGTCCTCACTTGCATGTTAAAATTCGTATACGACTTTAGTGTTACCGTGGGGTTTTCCAATTAAATCCTCATTTATTGAGATTAACAACGATACTGTAAACAAAGTTAATGAAACTGTAGAATGCTTGGTTTTTAGGCCGACGGCAAAAATAGTTTTACATATTTATTTAAAGTAGCTTTAAGTTGGGGAACCACTTGGTGATAGTGTACCTGAGACAATAATGAGTAATGGATGAATATTTACTGAGAGTCCATCTTGCACTGCTTGTTTGAAAACAGCCGATACTGCAGTTGTAGTTGTTCAGGCTAAAGGCAATTTCTGCCAGTGTGAAATACCCTATGTATTGCTGTAGTGGATTGTCAAAACTAGACTTCTTTATGTTTAGAGCAGCTAGAATGATTTCATCTGGTATTTCTGTGTCTCGCCTTCGCATCAAATCAGCCAGTGAAAAGGGAGAATATAGCACATCATCGAATCGTAGAGTCTGAAATAATGAAATATAAAATGAAATATTTCAATCGTTGGTAGGCTTTTATAATTTAAGCAATATTAATTTGCATTGGGTTTTTTTCTACAAAAAAATGCATTTCTGTGATATAAATCTACATGAACATACAAGAAACTTTTTATATACTAAGCCTCGTTTCTTTTTTGAGTAATCCCATTTTTGGACATGCATACAGAGGGTCAGACAACATGAAAGACACAACTATGAAAAAAAAATCAATTATGATAAAAACATCTCTCTGTATCAGTATCAAGAAAGCACTCAAATGTTAAATTTTTGCACAACATTATAAACATATGACATTGTCAATGAATGCTAAACAGACATTTCGATGCTTTATTGGAAAAGACAGCAATCTGAAATCCGATGTCAATCTCTTCAAAAACAAAAATGATAAGAGCAAAAAGAATTTAAAGTTTTTAAAGTAAAATTAAAATTTCAAAGAGGAAATAGCTGTTTAAAAAAAGAAGCTGGATAAATGAACCTTGTCATGCATTTTGTGAGTAATGACAAAGAAAAAATAATAAGTATACAGTAGATACCATTTATAATAACAAAGATAATACTAGGAAATCAATAAACAAATGAATTCTAAGTTCAAAAAGAAATGGAGATAATTCTGGGAAAACACTGGAGCTGGCGTTAAATAACTTTTATCCATATGAAAAGTTATAGTAAAACAATAACATTTCTTAACATAAATTCCAAGTTCAGGGGGGGATAATTCTGTAAATAGTCACACTAGAGTTTTTAATCTTGTCACACAACATGTCGGTAATGATAAGAAATATATATATTTGAAGTTATGGGTAGATTCCTCAAAAAATAAAGAAAATAAAGAAGAAATAACACTTCTTAAAGAAACTTTTAAGTTTAAGGGGAGATCAATCTGAAAATATTGCAACAAAAGTTATGAACCTTGTCACAAAGGATGTGGTTGATGGTAAGATAAATGAATTTGAAGTTTGAAGTAGATACCTTTACAACAAAGAAGTTATAGTAAAAAATAACAATTTTCAGGTAAACAATCAAGTTCATGGGGCAAACACTCTTGCAATATTGGTGCTAGAGTTATGAGCCTTGTCACATAAGATGTAGTCAATGATAAGGAACATATATTTGAAGTATGAAGTTGATCCCTTAATTTATAAAGAAGTTACAGTAAAGGGGAGATAATCTGAAAAAGATTGGTTCTAGAGTTATGAACATTGTTACATAAGGTGTGGTTGATGATAAGGAACATATATTTAAAGTTCAAAGCTGATACCTTAAGAAATGGAGCATGTTCAATTGAAAAATATTTTACTGCACCAAAACTTTTATCTGGACAAGGACGCAAACCCCGGGGCGGGTAGGACAGTTCTCCATATATTCTGTATAGTCGAGCTAAAAAGTTGTTCCCCGTGGTCAAAACAGCACTTCTAAGTCAGTTTATGTATAACAAACCCTTTAACGTTTAGCTTAAGTTATTGCTATGAGAAATAATCAAATAGCAAATGCTCACTAGCAGCACTTCATGCTCCCATTAGGTAGAAAAGAAATACACTTAACTGTGAATATAAATGTTTTGGTGGAGTGAAAACTCCTTGTTTCGAGTTTCGAGCGGCTTCTGCTAGAGCTCACAAGCCTGGATGTCTGATCACGGAAAGCTTCACGTGTCGCTGTTTTCGTTCCCTATCTCTTTCACGCTGTGCTCGGCCAACCTTAAACTGTTTTATTTTATTTCAATTCACAAATACAAATCATAAAGTGGCTGAAATAAATAATGCCACTCATCTAAGGCTAGAACAGGGGTGCTTTGGTTACAAATTTTGAAAAATGAATGTTAAATAATTGAGTCATAATTACAGAGGAATTTTTTATGATCTAAAAGAAAAGTCTAACCATGAATTTACAGTTTTTGGGTTGCAATAATTTATTTGCAATATTTACAAAAATCTTGTGATTATTCCTGCAGAGAAGTATTCCAAACAAAACTTTAAAAAATAAAAATCATTGAAAAGCCAAAAAGCTATTATTCTGACAAAAATTATTGAACCTTTAATACTGATATTATGCACACATAGACTTGGCACTGATAATTCTTGTAAGATTTGTATGGAGTTGCATCAGTAGTTTCTGAGAAGTAGTCCAGAAAAGCTTCTATGTAGCTGGCAACACAAAAAACAAAAACAAAAAAACACATAATTATTCACCTCGGCCAAAAATCATTCAAGTAGAAAATACATGTAATATACCCAAGTACTTGATCAATATTGTAAACTGTCATTGAAATTGCATTAGTGGTATTAAAGAGGTGTAGTCCGGACAAACTTTAAAAATCAAAATAATAAATGACAATAACTCAGTATTTATTGAACCAGAAAATGCCGATAATATGCACAACTAATCTGGTAATCAATATTACTGTAAAGTATGAAATTGCACTAGTTGTTTCTGAGGAGTAGTCGGAGAGACAGCTGACGGAGAAGTGATCCCTATACCGTATATCAGTTTATTTCGCAAGTATCTTAATATTGCTATATTCATGTGCAATCAATATCGCGAAAAATAGATTCACTTAATTTTCCTTTATTTAACTTTTCGACGTTAAAACAATAAATGTATTTTTGTATCATAGTTTGGGGATCTTTCTGTTGAAAATGTGTCAGAGTTAAATCGTATACATATACATGCACAGTGCGTTAACTGGAGTGCAGGTATTAGTTACCCGCACTCCAGAGCATGTCCATTGATTGGCTCATTTTTGCTGGGGTTTACTTATTGTGACGGAAGAGAAAAGGAAAGCGACAGAAATATCATATCTGATGCTCGTTTATTGGTTACCTTTTCCTGGGGTTTCATATTGTGACAACAGGGAATGTATTTTTATGTTTGACTAGGATACAAAAGAGAAATAACATCAAAACACTCGGCAATCTGATTAATACTCGTGGGGCTACGCCCCCTCGTACAAATCAGATAGCCTCGTGTTCCGATGCTCTTTCTATTACTTACTGTACAAAAATTTTTAAGTGACACGGTGAACAAACAGGTATTTGTGTACATGCTTTTCTAACCGATTGTCTAATTCACACCTTTACACATAGACAGCTTTACAATAACATATTAACAATAAACTGACACACGACAATAGTGAAATACCCAATACATTTTCAGTTTACCGTTTTTGACCTTTAGGGATTCTTATTGTCTCTGTTTTAAACACGAATCGCTTGATTTTATGATGATAACTTATGCGTATTTTCTACAATCACAGTGTTTTTTTATGAAAAAAAAAATGATGAGAAAATAACAAATTCATTCCGAGAAAATAAAAATAAAATTCTTTCTTAATTTGAGTGTATGTTTATACACTGAAGGGAAGCAACTCTGTAGTTCTACAGTGAAAAGAAATATCAAATTATTTATTAAAAATGATACTGAATTTTATTTAGGAAATTATCAAATTAATTATAAAAAATGCTACTAAATTATAGCTATCTATTAATACATGTCATAGGTGGCCCAGAAAGTGATATTCTGAAAAGAAATTTTGTTTGTTTCTTTGTTTGGGTTTACGTCACACCGACACAGTATTTTGGCGACGTTCCAGCTTTACTGGTGGAAGAAGACCTCCGGTGCCCGTCCGTGCATTATTCAGGTACGAACGGGCAACTGAGTAGAACCACCAACGTTCCGGAAGCTAGCTGGATAGTTTCCTCACATGAAAGACTCCAAAGTCCCTGTCGGGATTCGAACCGACAGCGGTGAGGGGCTAGTGGTTCCTGAAAAGAAAAAACGGTATTTTCATTAAACATAAGTCTAACAAAAAAATGAGCGTAGAGATTTTTTTTCTCAAATTGAACTATTGCTATTGACGAGAGATAAAAATAATTTTCTAAAATAAAGCGGTGAGTAAACTTTGCTGTGACCATTTAGCAGCATATGAAATCTTAACAAGAGGCAACCGCCGAGAAATTAAGGAACACTATCTAATTGAGCATGGTAAAATCGTATAAATCTAAATGCTGGCATTACGAAGAGTGTTCTGGAGCGTTATATTGTTCAATATTATTAAACACATGAGGACATGGTTATCGGGTAAGATATAAATTTTAAAAATTCATGCCGATGCAAGAGGAAGATATAAGTAAATATCTAGTATCGTTGGCATCTTATTAAGATTCTCCAATGTGTTTTGAAAGTGCGAAAGATCTGTGCTAGGTGGATTCCCCATTTGATAACAGATAAGTAGTTGTACACAAGGGCTTGCGTGCAATGCGCTAAACTGTTGATTTGGCAGTATCAAAATTACAATGCACGGTAATTGCAAATATCGTCACTGTTGGCAAAACATTGGTCTATTTTTTATGAGCCAAAACAAGTTTTGGGCTACGAAGTCTTGCAAAGGACCATTCATTGCAAAACACTATTATCAATAAGGTGATATATGCCATTTTCTTTACAACTTGGGGTCCCGCCATTCAGGTAGGCAAATCTATTGACCTACCAAAAGTTCTGAAAAAAAAACTGAAAAAAAAATACTTTCGACGAAGACCCGCAACTGGTTTTGCAATGTCAGATTGTTACACGACAGTGCGTCTTTGCATGGGGGGTCTGTAGTGCAAGACTTTCTGAAGCGGAAAAGTCGTTGTGTTCCCCAATCTTCCGTATGTACCTGATCTTGCTCCATGCTTCTATATTTTTTTTGTTTCCAATGTGAACAAAATACCTTTCTAAACGACGATTATTTGTACAGCGCAAACACATCAGTTCTGCAATATTTCAATGTATTCATAGTTTACCAAAAAGCCTATGAAAACACCTTCAAAAATTTGAATCCGGAGACTGAAACTTTGTATTGCGGTTGTAGATATATTCTTTGAGGAAACAAAACGACAAATCCACTAAACCTATCGAGACTAAAATATTACGTGCTTAGATGCATTTATATTTGAACACTCCTCCTATACGTTGCAAACTATTTGGTCGAT